ACGGAAGAGGGCATCCCAGGGACTCCGAGAGAAGGGCCACAACGGAACCACGTCGAAACTGTATCCAACATGGTCACTCTTGCCTCCGAGACGGACGGGGTGATCCTCCCAGGCGCGTGCGCGTCCATCTTCAAGGTCATGCATGCGAAGGCGTACTCCATGGCTTTCGACCGGTTGTCCTCCGACTCCTCAATCCATTCCTCGATGGCAACCATCCAGCGATGAAGTGGCAGGAGCGCCACCCGCGCCGCCGCGGCACAATGGCGACCCCATTTGCCATCGTAGTTCGGGCAATCCCAATCACGACCGCCGCCGGCGCCAGTGCACAACGGGGGGCGCAGGAGAGCCGTGCAGCCGCAAAGAAAACAAACCTTGTGACTCAGGAGCTCTTCTTGAAAACCCGAGCGCTCTCCCTGGCGATCTCCGACTGCGCGCTGCGCATCCTCCGCTCCTGCGCGATCTGATCCCTGCGCCATGGTCTCTGCGGCCTCCTCTGGGCTGGAACGCTGTGAAAGCTCCCCCCATCGAACAATGCGTCCAAGGACGCCATATTGAAGCCGAGCATTGCTGCAATATCGAGCTGGGAATGCCAGTGGGATGTCTGCAAGATACTAGCACGAGCGGCCTGGTGTAATGCTCTTGGACAAAGTCTGCGGACGCGCGGGCGCAAATACACAATGCTGGACGAGCCTGGTGAGACATTTCCACGAGCCATCTGGGTGTTGGTGGGTTTCAAGAGGTTCCTCTTCCACACCCCTTCGTGATATCCTTCTCTGGGGGTGGAGCTACGGCCTCCTAGGGCCTAGAATCCGGTATGCGATTCTGCTTCGTATGATGAACTAGATCCTGGCGTTCCATACAGAATCAACCTCTCACCTCTTCCTAACTCCCCACCGACCCTGTCGGGAAGTTCAAAATGTGAATATGAACTCTACCAAGTTCATTGACTGCACAATTGTACTCACTGCATAGCGGGGCCCCGGCCTAGTAATACGTACATTCGTAGATGCGTAGTGATTCGTAGATGCATAGCAATGCAGTGAACAAGCGTAGTAATACGTACATTCGAATATGCCCCATTACCTGCGCAACCCTCATTAGCTTTAGCACCTTGCAAGCTGATGGGAGAATTCGCCAGGCTCCCCCTGCAGACAAACCGCCCGAACATGTGACAATTTGTCGCTCTTACGCCGCACAGTCGATAGCACTATCGACAACATTATCGATTTAATTATCCCTCGGTTTTATCCAACCTCGCTCGAACGAGGCGGCGTGGCGGGGTGGGGGTGGGGGTGGTGGGGCGGGGGGGGGGGGGCGCACGACGAGGACAACAGGAGGTGAAAGAGCGAAAATGGACCGGCGCCTGGGCGGCCACGGCGCCCCATGGACCCCCCAAAAACTTCCACGACAGCTCAGGAAGCCCATCCAGGCCGCCAAGATGGCCCAAGATGCCTCCATGACGGGCCAAGATGGCTTCCAGACGGCCCAAGAGGCCTCCAAGACGCCCCAAGAGGCCTCCAAGACGCCCCAAGAGGCCTCCAAGAGCTCTTCCGAGAGCGCCCCAAGAGGCAACAATCATTGAGTCCCCATTAGTTCGGGAAGGATTCTCGCATTGTCGCCGCTTCGGCACTCCAGAGCGACCCAAGAGGCACCCAAGATCGCCCCAAGACTGCACAAGCTGCCTCCAAGAGGGCCCCAAGACGGCCCAAAAAGGCCCCCAGATGGCCCAAGAGGCCTCCAAGACGGCCCAAGAGGCCCCCAAGACGGCCCCAAGAGGGGGCCCAGACGGGGAACCCGAACGGACATTTCGAGCCCCCCGCCCCAAAAGGCCCCCAGGAAGCCCCAAGAGGCCCCGGGAATCACCCAGAACGCCCCCTAGGATTGGTCGAGGGGTCGACCAGATGTAATTATAAGTTGGGCAGTGCGCGCAGAACGTCTCGGGGCGCGCCTCGTCGCCACCACGGGCCCCCTCTTGGTTAAAACCCCCTCCTCCTCCTCCTCCCCCTCCCCCTCCTCCTCCTCTTCCTCCTCCTCCTCCTCCTCCTCTTCCTCCTCCTCCTCTTCCTCCTCCTCCTCCTCCTCCTCCCCCTTCTCCTCCTCCTCCTCTTCCTCGCGCAGTGCAGCGTGCAGCGTGCTCATTCGTTATCCTGCGCCGTCGGCGGCCGGTCACTCCTGAACCAAACATATTCGTTCCAGGACGTCCATGTCGGCTATTTGCGCATGAGAACCATACGGTCCCATACCCATAAGTTTGTTTGTTCCCCGATCATGGTTTGAAGGTGTTGTTGCCGTCGGGAATGCAACAAAAAAAAAACGCCACTCCTACTAGACGTAAGCGCGCACTTCACTGCGCGGCAGTGCGCTCCTTGAGCAAAAATGTTAGGTTCAGGAGTGTTTGCGCGGTGTCCAACGTTTTTCGTGGCACTGCGATCCAAAGGCAAAGCCTATCTTATAACTTCCGGATTGTTCAGCTTGTTGTTTTTCCCCTGGGCGGCGGTGCACTCCTAGAGGTCCTGGAGTAAACCGGCTGGCTCCAGGAATATCAGCACGGTGTCCTGCGTATTGGACCGCCCCGCACATTGTACATGTATTATCACTGCGCCCGCCCGCAATGGTGTTACTTTATATGTTGTCGCTGCGACTAAGGAAAGGTACTGAAGGAACACGCGGAACGCACTTCGTCGTGCAGCGCGGTGTATTCCTGGAAAAAAACGGTTAGGTTCAGGAGTGCCCGCGTGGTGCCACACATAATCACACACTAAAAATATGATTACTCCACGAAGAAATCTCCGACAGGCACGGGGCACCACGTCGGAGCAGGACAATTGGGGGCGCGGCGAAAAAAAAAATCGCTTTCGTTGGCCAGGTCTTCTCTCATTCGCGGAAGCGTGCCCGAAAAGTGCCTGGGCGGCCACGGCGCTTCCCTGGACCTCCCCAGAACTTCAGCGACGGCTCAGGAAGCCCACCCAGGCCGCCAAGATGGCCCAAGATGCCTCCAAAACGGGCCAAGATGGCGTCCAGACGGCCCAAGAGGCCTCCAGGCAACAATCATTGACTCCCAAGTAGTTTCGGGAAAGATTCTCGCATTCTCCCCGCTTCGGTTTCCGGACGCTCCAAAACGACCCAAAACGCAGGCATCCAAGATCGCCCCGAGACTGCCCGAGCCGCCTCCAAGCGGACCCCAAGACGGCCCAAGAGGGCTCCAAGATGGCCCAAGAGGCCTCCAAGACGACCCAAGAGGCCCCCAAAACGGCCCCAAGAGGGGACCCAGACGGGGAACCCGAACGGACATTTCGAGCCCTCCGCCCCCAAAGGCCCGCAGGAAACCCCAAGAGGCCCCGGGAATCCCCCAAAGACCCCCCAGGGATTGGTCAAGGGGTCGGCCAGATGCAATTGTAAGTTGGGCAGTGCGCGCAGAACGTCTCGGGGCGCGCCTCGTCGCTACGGAGCCCCTATTGCTTGAAACGCTCCACTTCCGACTGACGCTCAACCTCCTCCTCCTCCTCCTCCTCCTGCTGCTCCTCCTCCTCCTCGCCCTCCTCCTCTTCCTCTTCGTCCTCCTGCTTCTCCTCCTCCTCCTCCTCCCCCTCCTCCTCCTCCTCCTCTCCCTCGCGCAGTGCAGCGTGCAGCGTGTTCATCCGTTCTCCTGCGCTCTCGGCGGCCGCTCACCCCTGAAGCAGAACTGTCTGCCCCAGGAACACCATTTCGGCATCGGGGCCGCGGAGCTCAATGCCCATGACATGCCCCTCCTGTCCGATCATGTTTTCACTGCGTGGCTGCCGTTGCGCACGCAAAGAAGCCAAGGCCATTCCTAGTAAAAGCCAACGCACGCACTTTACTGCACTGCAGTGTACTCCTGAAGCTAAAATGTTAGGTTCAGGAGTGTTTGCGCGGTGTCCTACGCATTTCGTAGCACTGCGATCCAAAGGCAAAACCTTTCTTAGCCTAACTGTTAATCCTGTTTTTTTTTCCTGCGCGCTGGGCGGCCTTCCGCCCCCAGAGGTCCCGGAGTAGAGCAGTATCAGCACGGTCTCCTGCGTATTGGACCGCCCCGCACATTACACATGTATTGTTACTGTGCACGTCCGTAGTAGTGATACTCTCAATGTTGCCGCTGCGACAACGGAAGGCACGCGAAAGGGTGCTAGAGGAACACGCGGAACGCACTTCGTCGCGCAGCGCAGTGCGCTCCTGGGGCAAAATGGTTAGGCTCAGGAATGCCCGCGCGGCGTCACACAGAATCTCACGGACAAATCTTAGACAACATCGAATCCGAAACAAACAAACTTCACGAAGAAAAAAATCTGACAGACAAGGGGCGCCAAGTTCCGAGCAAGACAACTGGGGGCACGGCGGACAAGACTGCTGGCTTCTGATGGCCCGGTCTCCTCTCATTCGCAGAAGCTTTTTCGAACAGCGCCCACAGTGCCAACAGTGCCAACAGCGGAGAGAGTCTCAAGCAAGACTGCAAGCCCGAAGAAAAAAACGCCGACCTCCTTTGAAGGCGCAACGCTTCGTGGATTTGCGTGGACTGCTGTCTTGCGTTCCTGGTGTGTGCGTGTGCGTGTGTGTTTTTGTTCGTTTTCCGTTTGTCTCTCCAATCCTGTTTCCTGTCTCCTGCTCACTGCCATTCCGGGGGGCCCACGAGGCCCCAAGAAGGCCCCAGATGGCCCGCAAGAAGCTTCGAGCGATTGGCCTTTGCCATCGCGGTCGTCGATCTAGCCAACGGCGTGTCCGGCAGACAAATGCACCAGATACAGCGCCACCAAACAATGTTCTAAGAACCTTCTAACGCTCCCACGAAATGCTCTTAGAACAGTTCTGGCTGGGACTGTCTGGTTTTACCACACCGGGTTGATGTTCTAAGAACATTGTTGTTGTTATTAGAACATTGTTGGGTTCTAAGAACATTTCGTGGCATGACCACGGTGTCCGATGCGCTGACAGCGCGCGCGCGCCAAACGCGCTGCACGGCTGCTACTCGCGGCGCCAAGCGCGGTCTAACCTCTCTTGAATCGCTTGCTCACCACGCCGAGCTTTTGCTCGCCGTATGCCCGACGCTTTCCGCCTGCGGGAAAGCACCACGTGCGCAATATTGCTAAATCCAACCTGTTGCTCGCATGCTCAAAAACACGCAAAGCTGTGCCGTTCTCATATTTGGGATAAACTGCCCAGAGGTCAGCGACGTCTCATCGGAAGACATGCTCTTGGCTTTGGACATGGTGGGGTATTTTCCGCCCAACACTTCGCTAGTGACTGGTCTCTCCTGAGGACCGCGCGAGCAACGCCCGTCCTCCACTTGGGAGAACCTCGTTGCTCTGGACAAGTTGCAATTGTCTGCGATGTACTGCGTGGGCGGATAGAGGCTCGTGATGCAACCAACGCGGGTGTAGCCGCGACACTCTTTGAATCCTTTCAGCAGAACGGCAGCTTGCAAGTGATGCAGGCCCGGTGCCCCGTCGACAACCTTAGTATCCACATGCCACTTCGTAGACGCGTTGCTGGATCCCTTGCCAAACGCAGCTCGATCTCCCACTTTTGACAGAAGTAGCGGCTCCGCCACCGCAACGAGACGGCCTGGCGATGGCATCGGCGGCATCGGCCTGCCGTCGGCTTCAGCAACTACAGCCCACAACTTGTGCAAACCTGGCAAGGCGCGCAAACAGTCAGCAAAAGGCGTGTGGACATATCCCCCCCCTGTGAACAAGCCGCAATTTTTCGCAGGACCACGGCCATATCGAGCGACCTTGCGCTGGAGATCTCTCAAGTTGGCTGCAATGTCGTCCAAGGCCTTTTTGGACACGTCTAGTCGGACAACAACAGCACGCATTGACGACCAATTCACTTTTACATTGTGCTCCCAGCAAGGATCTGAGACGCAGGTAGCCTCCATGGGAATAATCATCATGGGACGTGCGATGGGGGCGCCCTGGTCGCACCAGCTGCCCTTGTGCTCCGTTGCCTGCGCCCAACAAACAGCGAAAACCGCAGGGTCCTTGCAAGCGGGGAGCGCTGCCACAAACTCCTGGCTTCCGGCATGCGCGCGAAAGCAAGTGGCGACTTGTTCTTCGAACTCCATTTGCATGTTCGCCTCCACGGGCGCTGCCCTGGAGGGACTTTGAGCCAAAATGGCTCGGGGAGATGGGGGGGAGGAAAGAGCACGGGGAGGAGCGTTGCATGTGGCACGTCACGGGGGCCGCATTGCTGGAAGCGCAGGCATTGAAGCTGTCTGAATAGCGAAAATCGGCAGGGGGAGATCTGTAGGATTGCTTCCGTGGTTCTGAAGCTTGCGCGGTGTTCGCTGGGATCTCTGGGGAGCCTTCTCGCGGGCCTCCCGAAGGCCGTTTCGAAGCCTGCTGCGAGTTGTTTTTGGGCCTCTTGGGGTCTCGTTTGGGTTTCTTGGAGGCCTCGTGGGAGACTCTTGGGGGCTCTTGAGGGCCTCTTGGGAGCCTCTTGGGGCGGAAGGCTGGGATTTTGGGTTCGTGGTCCCCCTTTTGGCTCGCGGGGCTGTCTTGGGGCCGTCTTGAGCCGTCTTGGGCGCCCTCTTGGGCCGCTTGGGAGGCCAGTTGGGAGCCTATTTGGCAGTCTCGGGGCACCAGCATCAGCAGCATCAAAATATTGATCATCATCGCCATCATCATCATCATCATCATCATCATCATCATCGCCATCATCATCATCACCAGCATCCTCATCACCATCATAATCAGGATCGGCAGCATCAACAGTATCAGAACTACTACCATCAGCAGCAACAGTCGCATCAATGTCAGCATCAGCATCAGCATCACAATCGTCATCATCATCAGCAGCATCATCAGCATAATACCGTCCGAAGTTGTTTCACAACCCACTCTGACATGCGGATGCCGCTGAAGACGCCCCCGAACTCAATCGGGCAGTTCTCGCCTGACAAAGATTCGGCAGCTGTCGCTTGAGACTTCCTCGCAACTCAGTTCGGCAGTATCCATGAGGGCTCTGTTTTTTTTTTCACCAAGCTCCGATGGGCACTCGGACTCCCGCCCCTTGTTTTGGCAGCATGCAGACGACAGACGGTGTAGGCCGCGGCTACCGCTACGTGCATCTTCAGAACTTGCTCTTGAAAGCGACTTACGCTCGAGGCCTCCTCTCATTTGAGTCGGGCGAAGACCCCTTTGCTTATCTTTGGGCTCTACAATGGTTGCCGCGCGGGTAAACGCTCCTCTGCGGGAGCGCCTACGGGAGGCCGCTACATCACAACCTGACTCAAACATTGCCCAGGAATGGGCCCCTCGAGGTGCGGGTACTGCTGGACGTCCTCGTGGCGATCCTGAACAAGCTGCCCCCGGACCTCTGCTGGATGCGTTTTCGACCAGAACTCCCGGGGGGAATCCAGCCGCGGCGACGAGAGCCCTCCCAGACGACGAGAAAGGGCCAACAAAATCGTCGGACGGCCTCGGTCCTCGAAGCTCGATCCCCCCCCCTCCTTCGCACCCAAATCCGCTCCAAATCGGCCCCTGAATCTCTCCCCTGGACCACCCTGGCAGGCTGTTCGTCCCGGATCGAGTTTCGACGGCCCCAGGGCGCGAGGCAGGCCCCCAAGATGCCGAAACCGAGGAAGAAACCCAAGATCCTCCTGCTCCCCCTGCTCCTCCTTTTAAGTTTTGATGATGGGGATGATGGGGGTGATGATGATGACGATGATGAGGATGAGGATGATGATGCTGATGATGATGCTGATGATGATGAAGGTGATGATGGTGATGGTGGTGATGATGATGGTGATGATGGTGATGATGATGATGGTGATGATGGTGAAGATGATGACGAATTTGAAGGTCACTTGGGTCCGAATACAGGTACCAACCGTTACACATGATCGGGCTAACGGCACGGCGCGGTATCGGCAAGGGCCCCCACTTGGCCTTCAGATGGCCCTTGGCCCAAGCCTCCCAGAGGGGTTCGACGACCCCCGCCCCCCGCGCTTTCCTCGAAATTTCCACGGCCCCCCTGCGCGAGAGGTTTCCGAACGAGGCCCTGGGCCGCGCGGGGCTTATTTCGTGCCCCTCCTGGCCCCCGCCTGAAACAATTAACAGGTTTTGGGGCCTTTGGCGTCTTGGGGCCGTCGGCGTCTTGGGCATCTTGGGGCCTGAAGCGTGTAGTGCGAGATAATCGTGCGAATGAGCGCCCCAAAAGCTTTCAAAAACAACACGGAAATCACTGTGTTTTGCCTTGTCGTTTTTCGCCTCCGATGGGCTCTTTGAGGCCTCACGATGGCCCCGAGCTGACCCAGCCCCCAAAGAAGCGGCCTCCGCGCGCATGCGCGCCCGCTCGAAGTCGCGGACGACCTGGGCCGCCCGCGCCGACCCGTCCTCGGCGCCCGTGCGAGCCTGCCCTCGGGCCTCGCCCCTCTCGGCCTCGGCCTTCGCGGCGGCTTCCCTCGCGATGACATAGCCAGAGCGGCCGCCAGGGCGCCGTTTTGGCACCGCGGCAAGTGCGCCAGCGGCGCCAGCCGCCGCGTCGGGGGTCGCGGCGACAGGGGCGCCCACCGCCGCCGCGGCGGCCGCGGGCGCCGCCGCATGGGGCGCCGCGCGTTTCCCCATAAACCCCAGGGGCCGACGCCGCCGCGGGGGGAGGGAGGGGCTGGGCTGCGGTGCGCGGCGGCGGGCCGGGTGCGCGGGCTGCGCTCCCCATGGGGCCACGACAGCTGTGCTCTGTGGGGCACGCGCATGCGGACTGCGCGCCTGGGACCGTCTGTGGAGCTCCCCACGTGGCCACGAAACGCTGCACTGGATGGGGGAGACGCATGCGGGCTGCGACACTGGGACCGTTGGTGGAGCTCCGTGTGGGGCCACGAAGCGCTGTACTGGGCGTGGGAGACGCATGCGGGCTGCGCCTCTGGGGCCTTCGGTGGAGCTCCTTTCGGGGCCACGAAACGATGTGTTGAGTGGGGTAGACGCATGTGAGTTACGCGCCTGGGACCGTCGGCGCCAGTGGGACCTTTGGTTGAGATCCTTATGGGGCCACGAAGCGCTGTACTGGGTGGAGGAGACGCATGCGGGATGCGCCGCTGGGACCTTCAGTGGAACTCCTTGCGGGGCCACGAAACGCAGCACAAGGTGCGCCGGAACAGGGGGACATGGAGGGCAGAGGCAAGGAGGGGAGAAGGGAGGAGGGCGAGGAGGAGGAGGAACGAACGCGGGCGCTGTCTCTTCAAAACGAAGATCCCGCACCACGTAACGACTGGGAAAAACCAATGGGAACCGCCAACAGGCCACCTCAACTCCCAGGGCAACATGACGAGATGTTCTGCCGTGAGCAATGCAGGCCTCCCAGCGCATGCGGACGCGCGCAGCCATGGCGCGACGCATGTTTGGATGAATTGCTCGGGCGGCAGAACAACGCATGTCAACTTGGAAATCAAATCGGTCACCGCTGCAGGCTCACTTGTGTTTGCAGGCCTGCATGGCGACTCTGTCAATCGAGGAATTGCAAAAGTCCCCATGCGCGCGCTGACGCGGGGACGCGCGCGCGCGGGGCGCCCCGCAAATCCTGCGCTGCCCGAGTTGTGGGAAGCGCCCCATGGCGCGCGCAAGGGTTCAGCCATGCACCGCAAAGCAAGACAAATCGTCAATGAAAGGTTGGCGTCGTGGCTGGGGCAGGTTGGGCGACGCTGCGGCCCGCGCCTTTCTTCAGATACATCCGTCTTACGCGTGTCTCTGGAAGGACTCTCACATCCCCGTGGTCGCCCTCGCCAAGCAAAACGTCCAGCGAGAAAGCCTGTTGCGGCCAACTGATTCGCGCGCGGGTTCAAATATTGAAGTCACCGCGCGTGCGCGCGGGGACACCAGTGGGGAAAGATCGAGACACCATCGGAATACAATCAATCTCACGAGTAACATCACAACAAATCGCCCCAACGATATCACACAATTTTCCCCGATCGATCTCACAACGTTTCACACTCGATCTCACCGTCGGTCTTGCTATCGCTGTCGATAGCGCTCGCATTACCGATCTCACCATGGATCTAACGATCGATCTTGACATCGATATCCCAAGAGATCTCACTATCGACCCCACAAGAGAATGCACGAGGCACCATCGGGACACCACGATAGGGCACCCCCAGCCACGGTGGGGCACCCCCAGCTACATATTTGGTGTGATCGATCTCACGATCGACCTCACGATCGATATCGCTATAGATTTCTCGATCTCACAACCGATCTCACGCGTCCAACGAGCCCCGGACCGCCGAAATGCGCGGAGCAAGCTGCAACAAAAAAGCAGCGACGGTTGATTGCGAGATTGTTTCGGCGCGGGCGCAAGAACGCCTCACGACAACTGTCAGAAATCCTCACGAAACCCTCCACAGAGGCGCAATACACAGAAGGAGAGAAAGTCCTTTCTTCGAGGCAGCCCAGAATCGCTCCAACATCGTATCAAGACGCCCGAACGACCCGCTCAAATGTCGCTCAGATTACTGAAGCGAGCCTCTTCGGGAGAGCTCGGACGCAACATCGCGCCCAAGACGGCCTCGACACTGGGCGGGCGAGCCAGGGAGAGGGGGGGGAGGGAGAGAGAGAGAGAGAGAGAGAGAGAGAGAGAAATTTCAAACAAAGAGAAGAAAGAGAGAGAGAGAGAGAGAGCGAAAAGCGTAAACAAACACGCAGCTCACCAACGACCACTGCGCATTGCGCATCAGTCCACCAGTCGACTGAACGAGTGGTTGCCCACTGTGGCGGTGCTGCCCTAAAAAAGCTGTGCAAGGACAATCGGGTGTGTATGCACATGTGCGCAAATGGAGATAGCGCGTGCTTTTCTGCGCGCGCGTGTGCGCACCCATGTGTAACAGTTTGCGTACGTCTATCTAAACATACACATGGACATGCACACATGCATGCAAACATACACACATACGCACATACATACATACATACATACATGCATATCTACACATAATCAAACCTACACACATACATACATTCATACACACATACATACACATGCATACATACGTACATACATACATACTTACTTACTTACATACTTACATACATCCATACATACATGCACATATCTTTGTATATGTTCAAATGCAAGACTTGGTGCTTGTCTCGCTTCGCTTTCAAGGCTCATATGGCCTATGGGGCTTGTAAGGTTCGTAGGGCGCATACGGCTCAAAGGGTTCAGCGGCCTCATAGAGCTCATAGGGCTCATAGGGCCCGTAGGACTCATAGGGCACACACACGTCTAATTGAGCACATAAAGCTCACAGGGCGTACATGGCCCATCGGGCTTGTTGGGGTCATAGGGTTCATATGGCTTGTATGGCGCATAGGGTTTGTAGGGCTCGGATGGTTGGGCGCTTAGGGCCCATAGGGCTCACAAGGCTCATAGGGCTCATGGGGTTCCCAAGGCTCAGAGGGTCTGTATTGGTCACAGGGCTGATACGGCTCATAGGCTCAAAGGGGCCGGTCGGGCTCAGAAGGGCCCATTATGTTCATAGGGGTCGTAGGGCTTATAGGGCTCACAAAGTTCGTAGGGCTCGGGTCGCAGGGCTCACAGAGCTCTAATAGGGCTCATCGGGCTCATATGGCTCATAGGGCGTCTATGGCTCATAGGCTCATAGGGCTCATATGGCTCATCGGGCTAATGCGGCTCATCGGGCTCATGCGGCTCATAGGCCTTCTAAAACCCATCGGGCCCATAGGGGCTCATAGGGTCGAGAGGGCTTACAGGGCTCATAGGGCTCGTAGAGGTCATAGGGCTCGTAGGGCTCATCGGGCCCGTAGGGCTCTTAGGGCTCGTAGGGCTCATAAGGTACAGAAGGGGGCACAACGAAAAGGGAACACGCACTCTGCGGATCTGAAAACGCTGAAGAAAACTCTGAACACGCGAAGAAAACGCATCATGCTTCAGCGTTTTCGTTTTTTGTAGCGACCTGAAACCCCTAAATCCGATTTCCAAGACGCCGAGCTGAAAACGCTAAAACCACGCCCTAGGCAGATCTAAGATGAACCAAGCTGGTCGGGAAGCTTGAACAACGAAGCCCAACGCTTGATACTACGTCGGGGCATGTTTTGCGCGCGTCACCGTCGCGGGCGTTGGCTGTGGCCCTCTTGGATCCCCCTTCGGGGTCTTCGAGACTCTCTCGGGTTTCCCTCGGGCCATCCTGGGGCTCACGTGGGCTGTCTCGGGAAGCCTTCTTCGGTCGGCCTGGGGCTCTCGTGGGGGCCGTTTTGGGTGGTCTTGGAGCGAGTTCGGGGGCTTCAGCGATTGTCGTGGTCGTTTCTGGGACGCGCGAGTGACAGTTGCCAAGGCGCGCGTTTTCCAAACGGAATAGTGTGTTTTTTGATGTTCGGGGGTCCTCTTGGGGAGCTCTTGGGTCGTTTTGGGAGTTTCGTGGGTCCTCTGGAGGCCATCTGAGGCCCTCTTGGAAAGCTGTTCGGCCGTCTTGGCGCCATGGGGGCCTCTCTGAAGCTGTTTTGGCGGCATATTCGGCCGTCTTGGGTGGTTTGGGTCGTCTTGTGAGGGTTTCCGATGAGTCCACAGAGCCCCAGACTGATCATTGCATTGTCTAAGGGTTGTTTTGCCTTCCCCTTGGAATTAAGTGCGCCCCGGGTGTGCCCCATGCGGGGGGATGTCCCGTGCAATGGTGAAGAATACATGTTCTCCTTTGGTAAGGGTGCGGTTGTTGCTTCTTGGGGGTCCCTTCGGGGGCCTTTTGGGGTGTCCGAAGAGCCTCTGGGGCCGCCTTGAAATCACTTGGGGCCATTTATGAGCGTTGGCGGTTTTGGGCCGTCTCGACGCTTTGCGTGACCGTCCAGGAACGATTTGGGGACCCGCTCGGGCGGCGTCCCGTGGTCGGAAATGGCGTCTGGAAAGGACAACGTGCATTTTCTCATCGACGGGAACGCCCCGGGCCGTATCAATGCACGGGGGGTGGCCATTTTATAGCATATTCCAGAAGGAATATACATACACATTAGATATACACATACGTGTACATATACATGCGCATGTAACTAAACGCGCGGACGTGCGACCTAGCGCACGTACATCGGGAACGCGAGCCTTGATCGAATATGGTAGGCTTGGGGTGATCCAAGAAGTCGGGAATGAATCGCAGCCCCTATCTGACTGGGGGGAAAACGCGCGATCGCAGCAGAAAGGAGAGCCCCCCACACCTGGAAATCTGCTTTGGTTTCGCATGCGCGGCGCGCGCGCTGGCAACGCAAAGCTGCGCGGGCGGGGGAGAGGAATGAACCCTCTTCTGGCCAGGGCGCCGTCGGGTCAGAACTCCGCCCCTCCCCTGTGGCAAGCGGTGGCGGCGGGGGGTGTCCCACCGTGGTGTTCCGATGGCGCCCCGTGGTGTCGCACTAGTTTCCCGAGGTGTCCCGCGGTTGCCCGCGGCGTCCCGCGGCGCAGTGTGCCGCGCTGTCCCGTAAGTGCAAATTGTCAGCGACCTCCCAAGTTGCGCCCTCATGCTCACCGAGATCGTGACTGTTTGGGATGCGCGAAGAAAGCGCAGTACGGCAACCCTGTAGGGCCCCAGGGTGCGCTCACAGACGTTGGCGCGCGAGCCCTGCAGGGCCCACGGGTGTGCCCACTTCAGTCGAGGCCCCAAACAGCAGGTGTCAGCGTGCTTGCAAGTTGGCAAGCGCAACCAATTAGCTTGGCAGCGAACGGGTTGGCAGTATGTGCGCGCATGTCCTCATAATCATGTAAAATGCATGCGCATGCGTTGCAATGTCAACGTTCGTAGTGGCGCGACGGCAATCGCAAAATGCGCGCCTGCAGCGCCATTGCACTCAGGCTGAAAAGCCAGCTGGGAGCATCTCAAGTCACCCGAGGCTTGGGCCAAGCAAGGTGCTCTGCCTTGAGCGTCGCTTTCGCTCTCGCCTTCTCAGCAGGGGACAGATGGCCCGGCACGGCCCGGCCTCGGGCGAGCCAGAGCGCGCGCGCTCGCTCGCCGACCTTCTGCGACACAGCATGCCTGCACCCATGCATGTAGCATCTCATGCTGAAGGAGGTCTTCCACTGCGACAACTGACCAATGCAGACACCGTGGCGGAACACGTAGCCGCCCTCCAAAGCTGGCATCCAACGCAAGCTCGCGAGAACGACCTCGTCGCTCTCAACGGCGACCGCCCCCTCGCCTCCTGTGGGCGGCGAGGTGGGCGCTGGCGGCGGGACATCGGGGGCAGGGCTGCCGCTGCTGGACGATGCTCCGCAGGCCGATGGCGCGGGCCCTCCGACGCCACCTTCATCCTCATCGACCGCGCCAGTGGCCTGCACGATGGCGCCGTCCTCCTTGGCGCCCACAGCGGCTGGCCAAGCAATGTCGTCGGGGCCGTGCTCCCACGCGTGCAGCGCCTCCTCCGATTGGTCGAAGCAGTTCTCAACGTCGCCTCCATCTTCGACGGCGACGCGGTAGGCCTCGTCGATGATGTCAGCGAGGGCCTCCTCGTAGTTTGGCTCTGGCTCGTCAGCGGGGGCGGGCGGGCCTTCCGCTGCTGGCACCGGCGGCGCGCTAGAAGCGCGACGGCCTCCCCGACCTGCTCCCTGCTCACGGCAGCCACCGCCCCCTCGGGCTCGACCGCCCCCTTGCAGGGTGAAGGATATTTACTGCCAACCATCATGTGTGGGGTTCTCGTTTGGGATTGAGCACTGTGGTCGAGTTTTCCTCTTCCCCTCTGTCCTCCTCCACCCTCCTGCCTGCTACTTCCTACCTCCTATCTCCTCTTTTTTCCCAACCCTCCTGCGTTGGGTTCTCGTTTTGAATAGAGCACTGCTCGCGCGAACCTTCCTTCCTTCCCGTCCCTCTCTCCCCCCCTGCCTTTTACCTGGCTCGTCGCTGCGTTTCGAGGGCAGCTGGGGGCTGCGATCTGTGAAACTGTCGCCACTTTCGAGGGCTCCTGGGGGGCCCAGCACAGTGGCACCCGCGGCGGACTCAAATGGGACCTCGCCATCCCTAGCGGGCTGCGATCTGTGAAACTGTCGCCACTTTCGAGGCCTGCTGGGGGGCCCAGCACAGTGGCACCCGCGGCGGACTCAAATGGGACCTCGCCATCCCTGGGGGGCTACGATCTGTGAAACAGTCCCCACTTTCGAGGCCTGCTGGGGGGCCCAGCGCAGTGGCACCCGCGGCGGATTCAAATGTGACCTCGCCATCCCTGGGGGGCTGCGATTTGTGAAGCTGTCGCCACTTTCGAGGGCTACTGGGGGGCCCAGCACAGTGGCACCCGCGGCGGACTCAAATGGGACCTCGCCATCCCTGGCGGGCTACGATCTGTGAAGCTGTCGCCACCTTCGAGGCCTGCTGGGGGGCCCAACACAGTGGGCACCCACGGCGGATTCAAATGGGACCTCGCCATCCCTGGGGGGCTGCGATCTGTGAAACTGTCGCCACTTTCGAGGGCTGCTGGGGGGCCCAGCACAGCGGGTACCCACGGCTGACTCAAATGGGACCTCGCCATCCCTGGGGGGCTGCGATCTGTGAAACTGTCGCCACTTTCGAGGCCTGCTGGGGGGCCCAGCACAATGGGTACCCACGGCGGGTTAAAATGTGACCTCGCCATCCCTGGGGGGCTGCGATATGTGAAACTATCGCCACTTTCGAAGGCTGCTGGGGGGCCCAGCAGTGGGCACCCACGGCGGATCCAAATGGGACCTCGCCATCCCTGGGGGGCTGCGATCTGTGAAACTGTCGCCACTTTCGAGGCCTGCTGGGAGGCCCAGCACAGTGGGTACCCACGGCGGATTCAAATGTGACCTCGCCACCCCTGGGGGGCTGCGACCTGTGAAACCGTCACCACTTTCGAGGCCTGCTGGGGGGCCCAGCACAGTGGGTACTCACGGCAGACTCAACTGGGACCTCGCCATCCCTGGGGGGGCTGCGATCTGTGAAACTGTCGCCACTTTCGAGGCCTGCTGGGGGGCTCAGCACAGTGGGGACTCACCGCAGACTCAAACGGGACCTCGCCATCCCTGGGGGGCTGCGATTTGTGAAGCTGTCGCCACTTTCGAGGGCTGCTGATGGGGCCCAGCACAGTGGGTTACTCATCGCAAACTCAAATGTGACTTCGCCATCCTTGGGGGGCCGCGATCTGTGAAACTGTCGCCACTTTCGAGGGCTGGCGAGGGGCCCCAGCACAGTGGGCACTCACCGCAGGCTCAAATTAGACCTCGCCATCCCTGGGGGGCTGCGATCTGTGAAACTGTCGCCACTTTCGAGGGCTGCTGAGGAGCACAACAGTGGGCACCCACCGCGGACTCAAATTGGACCTCGCCATCCCTGGGGGGCTACGATCTGTGAAGCTGTCGCCACCTTCGAGGCCTGCTGGGGAGCCCAGCGCAGTGGGTACCCACTGCAGACTCAAATTGGACCTCGCCGTCCCTGGGGGGCTGCGATCTGTGAAACTGTCGCCACTTTCGAGGGCCGCTGAGGGGCCCAGCACAGTGGGTACTCACGGCGGACTCAAACGGGACCTCGCCATCCCTAGGGGGCTGCGATCTGTGAAACAGTCGCCACTTTCGAGGCCTGCTGGGGGGCCCAGCACAGTGACGCCACACGCAGATTCAAATTCGACCTCGCCATCCCTGGGGGGCTGCGATATGTGAAACTGTCGCCACGTTCGAGGCCTGCTTGCGGGGCCCATCGCAGTGACTCCTCTTAAGCAGCTTTCACATCAAGTCGATTGTCCATACAAGTTTCGGCCAACTCCTCGTTTCCATTGGTACAAATGGGTTGGGTACGTCACAAGATAATTCTCGTTTCCCTACCTTCTCTCCTTCGTGATGCGTGCGTCCCTGGAGGCGTGCGAAGTGCGCAACTGCCACCGCGTTCGCAGGCCCCTGGGAGGTTCAGCGGGGAGGAGTGGTACGCGGACCCAGCTGGGACCTCGCGGCGCTCTGCGTGGATCCGAAGTGCGCAAGTGCCGCCGCGTTCGCGGACTCCTGGGGGGCCCAGCGGAACGGAGTGGTACGCGGACCCAATTGGGACCTCGCGGTGCCCTGCATGGCTGCGAAGTGCGCAACTGTCTCCAATTTCGTGGGCCCATGGAAGGCCTAACGGAATGAGGTGGCACGCGGGCCCAGCTGGGACCTCGCAGCGCCCTGCGTGGCTGCGAAGTGTGCACATGTCGCCTATTTCGCTGTCTCCGAGGAGGTCGCGCGGAGTGGAGTGGTACGCGCGCCCAACTTGGACTTCGCGGCGCCCTGCGCGGCTGCGAAGTGTGCAATTGCCGCCGCTTTGGTGGGGTCCTGAAGGGTGCAGCAGAGTGGAGTGGTAAGCGAAACCCAGTTGGGACCTCGCGGCGCCCTGCGTGGCTGCGAAGGGCGCAACTGTCGCCAATGTGTCGGGTTCCTGGGGGGTCCAGCGGAGTGGAGTGGTACGCGGACCCAGTTGGGACCTCGCGGTGCCCTGCGCTGCTACGAAGTGCGCAACTGTAGCAACTTCCATGGGCTCCTGGAGGGGTCCAGCGAAGTGGAGCGGCTCGCGGACCCAGTTGGGACCTCGCGGCGCTCTGCACGGTGGCGAAGTGCGCAAGTTTCGCCACGTTGGGGGGTGGTGGGTCTTGGACGACAAATGGTCACATGTTCGGGGGGTCCGTTGTTGCCAAAGTTGCTTCTAAGAAGCTCCCGATAGGCCACCCACGAGATTCCAACCAGCACCACCATCATCATCACCACCACCAACACCATCATCATACGCAGCATCACCATCATCATCACCACTCATCATCAGCATCATCATCATCAACACCATCATCATCCTCATCATCCTCATCATGATCAGCATCATCAGCATCGCCATCATCACCATCATCAACACCATCATCAGGATCATCACCATGAGCATCATCATCACACCACCATCGTCGTCACCAGCATCAACATCGCAATGGACATCCACATCAGCAGCATCATCACCATCATCATCGTCACCATCAACAGCATCACCACCAGCATCATTATCAGCAGCATCGGCATCAGCATCAGCAGCACTAGCATCATCGTCTGCATGATCGTCATCATCAACAGCACCACCACCACCATCAGCATCATCATCATAACCATCGGTATCAGCATCATTCCCATTACCACCACCATCATCATGCTCATCATCACCCTTACCCTCGTCATCATGACACTCGCGGGTCGCAACTGCGGCCTCCAGTGCCCCCTCGAAGGAGAGGCGCCGATCATGTTGGGCTGGCGCGGTGGCGGAATTGACCGTAGGCATGTGCAGACCCCGTACCGTATCTAGAAAATCCGACGCAAGGTGCCATGGCCATGGCGGCCAACATGGCCCAACATGCCTTTATGACGGCTCACGATGGTCCCAGACGTCCCGCCATGACCCCAGCACAACCCAAGAAGTTCCCAAAAGGGCCAAGGAGGGTCCCAGAACAACCAGGAACTCCTCAGGCTCCTGAGAGGCAGGCTGCGCATTCGCACTCTCACCTTTTCAAAATGCCGTCGGCTCGAGACGGCCCAGAAGCTAAAAAGGAACGACGGGGAAACTGAACACACGAAAGGGCGGAATGTTTGTGGATAGATGGTTCGAGTAGGACGAGTTGCGCCCGCGCGGGCCAATCGGGTACACTCTAGTTCCTACGCCCACCATTCGTCTTCTCTGCGGCCTTCGACGCCCCTTTCGAACAATCGTCGACGACAACGCTTGGCTGGCGCGGTGGTGGGGCTTGCTGCATGCAACTGGATATCTTCAGCTTCTCGGTGGGGATACCTCGTGGCGAACAAGACTGGATTGCGAACCCCCAGACGCATTGCCGCCCATTTTCCTGCCTCCCCCCCCTAGCCCCGCTCCGCCTCGCCTCGCCCTGGCATCTGTCCACTCACCCTCCCGACCTCTCCCCTTGGCCATCCCCCCTGGTCCCCCCTCCCTGCTCCTCCTGCTCCCCTCTGGTCCGTCCCAGGTTTTGTTGTTGTTATATTGCTAGCGCGCTGTCGTTATTTCCCCCCTCCCCGGTTTGGGAGAGAATTCTGCAGTCGGGATCGCTGGAGGACCCCAGTGGGCCCACTGGCATGACCAACAAAAGGAGAGGACGACGAAAAAAACCATTAGAAGCAAACGGAAGCACAATGGAGCATTACCATAGAACACAGCACAACGACACACACGAGACACAACATCCTCGAGGCCACCGAGCCTGACAATTCCAGCGCAGTGAGTGGCAAACCCCGACGGTGTAGCAAAGCATGTTTCGACAATGCGCGCTTAACTGCGATGCCGACCGCAATCGACAGGACAACTGTGCCCAGGGGGCCACCCAGAGAGAGCTGGGCAACTTCCTCGGGCGCTTCTGTCGAGGTGAACACTACGCCCCCGTTTTGCCCAACGACCTCGGCCACGAAACTGCCGCGGCCCCGCGCTCCTGGCCCGCGGTGCGAAAGGGTCGCCCTTGGGCAACAAGTCCAAGCCAGATGTTGGAGGTGGTGCCTTCTTGTATGGCGCCCGCTGCCCAGGTTCCCACAGAGTGATGGCGTCCCCCACGCGGCCGACCTTCACCACGAAGATCTCCTCCATCACATCGTACTCCAACTGCCTGGCGACAACGGAGCGGCAGCCAGGGGCGGTGGCGATCTCCAACGCAAGGTCTTCGCCAGTGAGTTCTGACAACGACATGAAGTCGGACTTGATCAGGCAAGGCCGCGACAATAAGTTCAGAAAGAAAGGCAACGCAATGTGCTCTGTCTCGGCGTCGACCTCAACTGGGCAAGAACCGACCTCGTCGGTTGTCAAACTCGATTTCACCCACACCTGCACTCTCGGCCGGAATGTCGGCACCGCGCAAGTGATAAAAACGTGCTTGTACTTCGCGTGAGCATTGTGAGGGAAAGACATGGTCACCATCAGCATCAACTCGCCGAACTTGGCGATCTTAGAGCCAACCTCGTCGACGATATTCGACAGGCCATCCTTCAACACCTCGAACTTCTGCGAGCACGTGGGCTCAGAGCGCAAAATTGGGCACACATTGCACAACCGAGCTCCGCATGGCAAAGACGTCGAAGACGATGGCTCAATATTTGCAACGGGCTCGTCGACGATAAATGCTTGCACCGCTGCGGGTGAGTCGCCAAATGTCCACTTGCACTCGTCGTGATAGGAAACGAGATGCTGAGGGTGTAAGGGCAAGTCCGCACAATCAATGCCAAGATATGGACGAAAGTGCTCGGCGGCCTGCCGCCCACCGGCAGCGACGCTGGCGTCGCCTGTCCAAACGCCGTGGCAATACTTCTTGTAGTTGTCCTCCATGTATGCAACCAGAACGGGGTCGCCAAAATCTGCGTCGACATCCTGCCTGCGGGCAGAGAACCCCCTGCGCCACAACCCAAACCAAAGCACGCTAATCCCAGGAGCCCCCAGCATTCCCTTGCAGTGTTCGGGGGTGGGGGGGGAGGGGGGTCGGGCCCTGGCCTGGTTGAGGAGTGCGTCAGTATTCGCGACCAGGAGAAGCCCCAGCGGGTACCTTTTCAATTCTGGACCGATGCTCGTCGATTGGGGGAGGGGGGTGGGGGCGGGGCGCGTCGTTGAATGGCGATCCCCTACCCGCGGTCGAGTTTCAAAAATGGCACCCGACGCGGCCCCAGGAGGCGCGCAAGAGGCCCAGGAGAGGCCACCAACAGACCCCTGAGAGGCACCCAGAACCCACCAAAACCCCAACGCGCGCCAAAAGACCCCCAACGAGGCCCCCAGGAGAAATTCCAAACGACTCCGAGAAGCAGCAACGAGGCCTTTGGCCCCCCCCCGAGGTATACAAATAATGCCGCGCCCCGACGGCTAGGACAGTTCCCTTCGGCGCGGCCCCCCTGGGTGGACCAGTGGGGATGCGCGCGCGATGCAAAACGTGTGGCAGTCGAAACCTCGCTCAGGTCTGAGCGGGCTTTCTGATCATCATCCCAGCGTGGCTGCGCGGAAAGTTCGTCTGAAACCTACTGCCGCAAGCAGTATTCACCTGCGAAAAACCAGAAAGCATGTTGCTGCGCCTTGCGTTTGCCTGCAACGCTCTGCGCGGCCTCAGTTGCGTCGCCTTGCATCGAGTTGCGTTGGTAGCTGTTTTGCGGCGCGTCGCCTTGCGTTGCTTTGGCTCGATGTGGTTTGCGTTCTGGTTCGGCTGGTGTTTTGCTTACGGGCGCAATCGCGCATTGTCTGCATGCGTTAGCTCATCAGCGCCGGTTCAAACATAGAGGGCCTACATGCTGTGCAACGCTGGGGGGGGGGGCCTCACAAATGCTGCGATCGACTGCGTGAAGTAACGGCAGGGGCCATGTGGCGCCTTTGATCCCCTGGCGGCCTGATCCGCGCCATCTCGCCGTCCGTCAGCGTGGCCCCCTTCAGCTTCTTCGCGGCCTCCATGCGCTGGTTGTAAGCGTACAATTTCGGGTTCAGGCCAGCTATCTTGCAGTGGGCCCTCTTGCGACCTGACTGTCGGCGGAAAGCGTCGCCGTCGTCCTCGGCCATCGGCGCCGCTCGCAGCGCCACTGCTGATTCGGCCTCGCACTGGCCCTCGGCATCACAAATGGAATGGAGGCGCGGCAGAGTGTCCATCAGCTTTGGCACCGACTCCCATGGGGCCGCATCAGCCGCCCGTTTCGGCGCGTCCCCAGGTTTCCTCCACACCTTGTGGCCGCCAGCTGCCTGATGCCGCTCTCGCATGCTGTCGAGGTAGAGCCTACAGGCGAATGTCTTCAAGTTCCAGGCTTTGCGGCAGGCGGCTAAGACCCTCCGACCTCTAGCGTGGTCGCCCTCGGATGCTTTAGTCGAGAAAATGAGAAGTTCCTCCCATGTGCGGACGGCAACTTTAGCAACCCTTTTCTGCAAATCTCTGGGCGACGGGAACTGCTGTCGAAACCTGCGGCCGAGAACCCAAAGGTCGCACGAGCTGGCATGGAAGAATTGGTTGATCCACGGGTCCTTCTGGGCTTCGTTCGGGTAGCACTCGTCGCAATACAGGTAATGCATTGTGTAAGGTGAATGCGAATATGGCAGCTCAGACCGTCGAAAAGCTCCTCCCGAAAATTTCATATGTTTCGCCGAGCGTGCCGCCGCTCAGCTTCAGTAGGCCTGGCGCCGTTCAAGACCCTGAGCAATCCGAGCCAAATCTGCGAGTCGGGGGCGGCCCACTCTCGGAACATGTCGAGGAACTTCTGCCTGGTGCGACCAATGATACCATCATGAGGAGATATGAGTTTGTGCAAGGTCAGCGGTCCAATATCTTTATCCCCGAAGATGCAGTAAGTCAAACGATCCAAAGGGTCACTGGCGATATTCATAACGAACATCTGGAATTTCGCGCCTCTGTCCACCACTAAGGCTTCGTGGACCTTTCTCTTCCGCACCCAGTGGACGATTTGATAATCAGACATGCCGACGCCGACTTGGTAAAAGTCGACACCGGCCTCTGGGCCCACGTTGGACGGGTGAAGCATGGCGGGCAGGACCTGGTGCAGCATGAAGCCGAAACAGACGAGGTTCGAATTGATCTTTGTATTTGTGAATCTGGCAGTAGCTGGGATAGGCCACGATCTTCCGAACCAGAATGCGGTGTAGGTTCGCACGAACTTATCAACGCATTCACCCCGATCTGCACAACAACGACGCCCAGAAAAAGGATCCACAGAGCAAATGTGCACAATGTCGCGACCCTCGATGGGGCCAGCCTCAAGCGCCAGAATGCCGAGGATATCTTCGAACAGGTGGCCCCTTCCAACCTCGTTGCCTGCGGGGCCACCCAGCCGGATTCACCATGAACCCACGATGGCGCGTCAGAGATATAGGTTGCGCAGTGCGGACTGGGGAGTCGCACCAGCCCTTTGGAAGAAGGCGGTCTAGCAATATCCTTCTATTCTCTTCCAAAGCCTTCTTCGTACAGGAGATGCACGCCCCCTCTCCGGTTTTTTTGGGGCGTTGTTCGCGGAGCGTTGGAGCGTCCAACATGTGTTCGGTGAGACTGCTAAAATGACTGATTGTACTAAGGTGGGGTCGTGGGGTTGTGGGGTCGTGGGGCCGCCCCGCACGTTGCACATGTATTATGACTAAGCACGCCCGTAGTAGTGTTACTCTAAAGGTGGCCGTTGCGACTGAGGAAAGGTGCTAGAGGAACACGCGGTGCTAGAGGAACGCACGGGACCCGCTTCGTCGTGCATTGCAGCGTACTCCTGGAGAAACATGGTTAGGTTCAGGAATGCCCAACAGCGGCCCAACAGCACCCCAGGAGGCGATGTTGATGGTAACATCGGGGGAGCCAAACATCACGACTTCCTCTACACTTTTCCGACGCCCTCCACGATACGCCCAAGAGGCCTTCAAGGCTCCCAAAAGGCCCCTAAGAGAGCCCCAAGAGGGCCTCCAATGCTGCAAGATATGGATTTACATGTTTTTGAATCGTGCGTCCTGGGTTTACGACCCCCCTTTGTTTTCACCGACGCCTTGCACGATAGGCCCAAGAGACCTTTCAAGGCTAACCCCAAGAGGACCCCAGAGGGACCGAAGACCCACCAAAAGAGCCCCAACATAACCCCAATATCCACCGAGGAATCGCACGAGAGCCCCAAGAGCGACTTCGAGTTCTCTGTCCTCGTCTCCATTGTCTTCCTCTTCCTCCTCGTCCACGTCCCTGCCCCGAGAGAAGTGAAGAGAGACAAGCGTGCCACTCGAATGCACCACGAGGCTGCGTAGGCAGCCAGTAGTGGGTCATTTGACCGATTCTCCAAGGCCGCCACGTTGCTCCCAGTGATCTCTCTGTTCGCCCTGGCTGCCCGCCCTGATTCACTATGTGTGTCTCTTCGTCCCTTTTTTCCTAGGAACTGTCATAGGCAGGGTTTCCGCATGGGCTGGTGGGGGCGCGCGAAGCGTGACACATGTCGCCAAGTTTTATCGTTGCACGTCGACGCGTGCCCGAAACCTCACCGTCCATTTGGGCCTCGCGATTTCCTCGTGGACCCCAGGCAGACTGCCGAAAAAAGGCTTCCAAAAATCCCCAGACAACGCCCGAATCGTCGAAGCGCCCCCACTCCTGTGCCCCACCGCCTCGAAGCAACCGACGTTCTGATAAAAAAGGAACCTCGAGAGGTCCAGAACGAGAGAGAGAGAGAGAGAGAGAGAGAAAAAAAAAAAAAAAAAAAAAAAAAAAAAAAAAAAAAAAAAAAAAAAAAACTTGCAAGACGCGTGGCGCAAACGGAATCCTGCAGCATCACGCTGGGTCGCCAAATTGACCTCGGGTGGTCGCCACTGGGACCAAGGGTGATGGAACTCCCTATGGGGGCACGGGCCGTGTAAATTGTGCGTCAAAAGGGGTGGCGGAGGCGCGAGGGAGCGTCGCCACTGGAGCCTTAGGTGGAGCTCCCTATTGTGTGAATGGTGCGCCCCAAAAATTTGCAGCGGCAGCGCGTGGGAACGTCGCCAGTGGGGCCGTGGGTGGAGTTCCCTCTGGGGCCACAAACCGCGCGAAGGTTGTGCCGGAAATGGGCGGCGGGGACTCATGGGAACGTCGCCGCTGGAGCTTGATGAAGAACTCCTTATGGGGCCACGACCCGTGTGAGGGGCGCGCCGAGAATGGGTGGCGGGGGCGCAAGGGAACATCGCCGCTGGAGCCTCAGGTGGGGTTCCCTACGGGGTCACGAAAAATGCGAAGGGTGTGCCAAAATGGGCGGCGGGGACGCACGGGAACGTCGCCGCTTGAGCCTTAGGTGGAGCTCTCATTTGGGCCCGCGAATCACGCGAGGAGTGTGCCAAAATACTGGCGGGGAGACATGGGACGTCGCCGCTGGAGCATTTTGGTAGAGCTCCTTTGGGGCCACGCGCCGCGCGAGGGGTGTGTCGCAATGGGTGGCGGGGGCGCATAGGAACGTCGCCGCTGGAGCCTCAGGTCGAGCTCCCTATGGGCCCACGAAGCGTGCAAAAAGGTGCGCCCAAATAAATGGTGGCGATGACAATGATATCGGTGGTGGCGATGAGAGGAGGGGGGGGGGGGGCGACGGAAGAGGAGGAAGGAGGAGGAAGAAGAGGAGGATGAGGACAAGGAGGAGGAGGAGGAGGAGGAGGAGGGAGGGAGGAAAACGCGGGGCGCCATCTTTCCAAAACGAAGATCCAACACCACAGGATGATGGTTAAGAACGGACGACTGGGAACCTCACTGCAAGTGTTACTTCTGGTGCGCCGTTGCAGGTGACTCGCGATAACTGAGCGGACGCGCGATTGTAATCACACATGCTATAAGGTAGATCTGAGGACACTAAGGATCTCCAAACTACCCCAGCACTGTCCGACACAAGCACGACATGACGAAAAAACATAAGCATCGCGCCGACCTCGCTGCTCCACGCTGTATAGGCGCAGTTGTTTGTTTTCAATCGGGGCTTACGCATGTGATGGAAACGGGCAGCAAGGATTCGCGCCACTCGCCTCGCCAGACACGCCGTCGAGAAAGTACCCCCTCGCAGAATTGCCTTTTCGAGCGCGACCGAAGGTCTGGCTACGGAAACAGACAAGCTGAGCAAACAAAAACAACAACATCGAGGATAGGGCGGCACACCCAAACATGAGGAGGCGGCCCGCAAAAACGGCAACACAACGAAACTGTCACGAAGTAGCGCCCGCAAGTGCGGGAGGAGGGAGGGGGGGGGGGGGGGGGAAGACAGCGGCGAAAATAAACGCGCAACAATATGCTATGCATCCGCGCTCGGCCGACGACAATGAGTCGTAGTCATGTTCCCTGGGGGCCGAATCAACCGCCAAACATAAACGCCACATTGCGCGGAGCAGCGCAACCGAGTCGCGAAGACGGGTTCGCAGCACGCGCGCAAGGATGGGGGGGAAGAGCAGCAGCGGCGCGAGAGGAAGAACAAATCGGGGAGACGCGGGATCGGGACCTGGCTTGCGTTGCCCCCAACCTCACTCGGGGCTTACGCAGTGCGCGACCCACAAAAAGGAAGGGTTCATCAAACCTGGCCGGGTAAACTAGAGGCGGCATTTCCATTGCAATATCGCGCGCGCGCGCCCGTGGACGGGACAACCGCGGGGAGACATGCGGCACCATCGCTGGGCAATCAGGTCTGGAGGAAGGCGCAGAGGGAAGGCGGGGGCAGGCATGAGGGAAAAGGGGAGGACGTGGAAATGGGCAAGTAGGAATGCGAGCGAGACGAAGAACGCGGTGGTATAGCGTCAACGCAAGGAAATTGGCGCAGCAATGAGGGGAGTGGGGGCGACGACGAAGAGGGCGACAGGGTGGGCGACTGCACGGACAGCGCTGATGAGGAGGGGGGGGTAGGCGGAGGACGAAACGCAGGAAACGGGGTGGGGGCGAGGAGGGCGAAGACGATTGGGGCGACGAAGAAAAAGAAAGGGAGAACGCTAACACGGAGGATGACGAGGAGGGCGCTCTGGAGGACCAGGAGGACACCGCAGCGGACCAACGTGAAAACAGAGGAAGATCAGAGCGAGGAGGAAAAAGGCAAAGCACGAGGAACGGGGGGATGACAGACCGCCAATGAAGATTCTGTCGAGGACGCCGCGGGCCATGGGGGCAGCTCGGACTTCGGAGGGCGCGGCTCCTGAGAGGGGGGGGAGCGGCGAGGATGGCTGGCGGGATCAGGAGGGTCGCTGGAAGAATGACAGCAATGTATTGGAAGAGTCCGTAACACCGCCACGCGGTAGTTTAAAGGCTGCGGCGGCACGGCGGCGCGACTTGCAGCGGGCAGCTCGGCGCGCATGGTTACTCCCGGGGGCCGACCTCGGACCCGAACCCCACCGCGCAAGCGTTTGAAACATTGCCCTCCCCCCTTCCCCCGTTGAATGCCAGACGCACCGAGGCCCCGCGTATATTTGCGTTTCCACGCGAGACAGCTCACGAAAACAATTTTTTATCAATATCGCGGTGCACGGACTGACTTGTTCCCTCATGCTACGCCGACCCAGCGCAGAGACATCGACATGTAGGGCGCCCCACGCCCCGCGGCGGTTGAACTCCTGAGGGCCTTCCTTATCCCGACGGAGGTGGTGTCGGGCATCGAGGTCGAAGAGGCTGCTCGCCAAAGCCAGGTTCATGTCCTTGACGTCTGGGCCCACCTCCTGGCCAGCAGGGTTGAAGACCAGGCGAGTCCGGATGAACGCGTCCAGCAGGCGCACGCACGTGATCACGTTGTCGCTGCTACGCATCAGGTTCGAAAGGCCGTAGAAGGTGGATGCCATTCTCACATATTCTGCATTCTCGGCCTTCAAATTGTTGCAATTGTGTAGTTCGCAGAACTCTTCATCCCAAGGGAATCTTGACGGGAGCGTGTCTTCCACCCTCCGGCGCGTGACGCTCATCGCTGCCACGTTGGAGGACGCCTTGTCGCTGAGAGGGGGCCCGATCACGACATCGGCGATATCGGACAAACGCTTACAAATCCGCCGCCACCTCCTAGACACGCAACGGCGCGTTCGAAATCGGCGTGGCTACCCCAGGGACACCCCAAACATAACCCAAAGAAATCTGCGCGGGAGAACTGTGCAACCACCCAGAACATCCGTGCTCCGATGGCGCACTGGCGGGGTTTGCCGCTAAGCACATGGATGTCATCGTTCTGCATGTTGATGGCCATTCCTTTGGCCAAGGCGGCCAATGCATAATCGTGGCCCTTGCCAGCGATGTTCATTGGAGGATAACGCCATGGCACGTCGAGCGCAATCACCTCCCCGTCCTCGGGGTGAAATACTTTGACCAACAACCGGCCTGACTGCGCGATGATGTCACCAGAGCTCTGCTGCTGGAACCTGGCTGGCGTGAGCGCCGCGAGAGCAGCGAGTGCGTCAGACCTCGTCTTGTTCCTCCCTGGCTGATTAGTCAAACTCTTAAGCCACTGCTTCGTTTCATCCCATTCATGCATCCACCCTATGACAACATTGAGGTTGTTGGCCTTCGCCTCTCGACACCACTCAAATGCGCCCCCATTCCCCCTCGACGCCCGACTTCGTCAGACGAAGCAACAAGTCTGTGATTGAGGCCTCGATGCGGTTGCACTGGGCGGGCCTCTTGCTCGCAGTCAGCGACGAGGAAGCAGAAAACGCCACGCGAATGATGCCCTCTGCGCGGGAGACAAACATCTCTCGATGCATAGTGGTTCTGGGCGCGGCGCAGACCGCAGCAACATCTGGGAAAACATCGGCAATGCGTTCGACAATGCTCTCTGCCGCGGACGCTCGAGCCTCTGATCCTACAAGCCCTTCATGGGGGCCCCGTAGCGTAAGGTTGGTCCCCAAGATTCCTCTGCCCAATCCTACCAGCCCCGAAGAAAAACAACATCGCCCTCTTCGGCACCTCCCAATGGCCTTTGCTTCGGGGCACCAAGCTGCAACGAATTTTCGTTCCCCCGCCACTGCCCGCGAATGCCCCAGCACGCGCGCGCGGTCGATTGAAACTGACGCGGCCCGCTCCAGGCCCACATAGAGACAGACGCACAGTCGATGATTGCCGCCGCCGTTTTCTCCCCGCGCCCCGTTGACCCTCGGAAAATGCGACAGGATCCGCCGAAACTCCCGAGATGGCGCAGGGGGGCCCGAGAGGCCCCCCACGCGGGCGGGGATGCTCCTGGGGCAACACAAGGGGCCGTCGAGATGATTTGGATATGCCTCCAAGGCGGCTCGGGGACTCCCCAAACACCCGCCGAAGACCCAAGGACTTTGCGCCCGCAGCCACTTCCGTCGCAAACTTCCTTGCAAAACTTGGCCGCGCCACGCTAGATGGGGGCGGCGACGCGTCGAGCCGGGCGGGGCCAGAATATGCAAAAGCATGCGAAGCCACGAAAGCACCTGCAACGCTGGTTGCTGGATGGGCTGGCGGGTGCGCGCGAAGCACAAGAACTGGGCCAACTTGCGCCGCGCCGCGGCAGCCTTGCGGCCCGCCACCATGCGGGCCACCACCTCCTGGCGCCCCCGCTTGGGCCGCGCATTGGCGACCGCCACCAGGGCGCCAAGCCCCGCGGCCGTCTAGGGGTCGGCCGCGGCAGCCCAAGGGTCTGGCCCCCCTTGGGCCATGCTTGGGCCTAATGCCGCGGAACGTGACACTCTGCGCGACCGCATTCCAGAGAATGCACGGGGCCCGCAGACGCAACGATAATAATCTCCGCTTCAATGGAAACTTCGGGGGGCAAACAGATAATTCATGGGGGCTCTTGGGAAACAGTGAGACACTGCGAGCCTATCTAGACCCTCGGGGCCCGCGTGGAACCAGCGGCGGGCCAGCGGAACGACTGGGCGAGACTGCCGAGCGAAGGTGGGGCCCAGAGAAAGCATTTGGAAACGCAACGAACCATCTGGTGTCCTATGGGCACCAAAACGGGCTCTAGAGGCAGGCGAGGGATTCTATGAGAGGCCCGAGGGCACCATCAGGCACCGATTACATACCACGGGGGCTTACTACATCATATAGGTAATAGACCCGATGTCGAAACTAAGCATGCGGTGCATGAGCGGTTCAACGCGTTCGAACATGATGATCCTGGACGCTCAGGGCCCACTGAGACTACTGAAGCCGTTTCCCCACCGGCCCAAGATGTGGTGCACTGCGCGACTGCTGGGGGCACTGGGGCTGTGCTCTGTAGGAGCGTTTTGCATTTTCAATCACCAGTCGAACCTGCGCAAACGAATCCAGACTACGATCGTTTTTTTTTATATATAAAAAAACGCTTAAACAAAAACGCTGCAACTGTCGGATTACTAATGTGATGTGTTTTTTTCCGTTTCGAAAATGGCTATAACAAAACGCTGTAACTGTCAGATTATGCACGCGCTGCTCTGGCGAGGCTCCTCAATGATACCCCGCAACAAGTTCCGCGACCGCCCCAGACCCCCAGGTGCTCACAATGCGTCTTGACGATCCGGAATCGTGCCAGAGCGCCGTTGTTGGGACTTCAGCACCACGAATCAACATAACTGTTGCGCCCGCATGCTCCCGAATCTTTCCAAAACGCTATTTCTGGTACATTGATCATGGAATTCCGGGAAAATCTTGCAAATTGAAAAACGAATGTGCGCGGCGCTAGAGCGAGAACCACATTGTGAAAACCACCCGCCCTCAATCCGTGCAATTCTTGCAAATGTAGAAAAATGAGTGCGCGCGGCGCTAAGGCGAGAACCACATTTCGAAAAGGAACCGCCCTCAATCCGTGAAACTCTTGCTGCAAATGTATAAAACGAATGTAAGCGGTGCTTAGGCGAGAACCACATTGTGAAAACCACCCGCCCTCAATTGTGCAACCCTTGCAACATTTGATAACGAATGTGCGCGGCGCTAAGGCGAAAACCACATTTTGAAAACCACCCGCCCTCAATCCGTGCAGCTCTTACAAATGTTTAAAGCGAATGCGCGCGGCGCTAAGGCTGGAGCCACATGTTGAAAACGACCCGCCCTCCATCTGTGAAGCTGTTGCCACTTTTTAAAGCTTCAGAATCATAAATTAAAAGGAGGTCTCAAGCGAAACGTCCGACCCGCCCTAAAAACTGGCCTCGGCGTGCGACAGGGATAAGTGATCTATAGGAGGAGGAGGAGGAGGAGGAGGAGGAGGAGGAGGAGGAGGAGGAGGAGGAGGAGGAGGAGGAGGAGGAGGATGGAATGGAGGAGGGAGGAAGGAGGAGGAGGAGGAGGAGGAGGAGGAGGAGGAGGAGGAGGAGGAGGAGGAGGAGGAGGAGAGGAGGAGAGGAGGAGGAGAGGAGGAGGAGGAGGAGGAGGAGGAGGGAGGAGGGAGGAGGGAGGAGGGAGGAGGGAGGATAGAGGAGGGAAGAGGGAGGATGGAGGAGGGAGGAGGTGGGGCAGGGGCACCCTTCCCAACCCCCGAGAGCAACACCTCCACCGGCCTGGGGCCGGCCCCTGCTCCGCCGCCACCAGCGGCGTCCTCCTCCGCGTCCTGCGCGCCCAAGACGAGCGCCTGCGCCGAGGCGATGCAGCGCGGGCTGTTCACGGCCAGCACGGTCGCCCGCTCAGAGAGGCGCAAGCGAGGGAGCCCCTGGCCGGCAAAGAGCTGGCGGCCCCTGCCCCGCATCTCCTGCGCGCCCCGCTCCGTCAGCTCGCCCCAGGGGAAGCCCCCGGCGCCCTGCGGCGGCGCGTACCTGGGGAAGCCCGGAGGCCAGAGAGAATGCGGTCGGGAGCGTCGGCTCAGCGTCGCCGCGGCAGCCCTGGCGACACGCTATGCCTTGCAAGCGGATGGCGTGTCGCTCCGCTCTGCGGGGCGGGAGGCTCGGACAAACTCGGGAGGCTCGGACAAACTCGGGGAATGGGGACGTATCGCGCCCAAGAATGGTGGTCCAGAACCGAGGGGACGACACGCGGAGCCAAAGTTCCGGACCGTACCGGCACCTCTGCTCCCCAGACCTCGCCAGGGGTGCGCTCTGACAGGAGCCTCGAGGCGGCTCCAGCCGTGGCGACGAGGGCCCCCCAGGAGCCACAACGAGGCGACCGCGAGGCCGGGGCAGCGGTGCCCCTATACCTTTTTTCCCCCTTGGAGTGCCAGCCGTCGCCGGGGCGGGGCATGACGACCGTGCAGCGGTCCATAGCCCCGCCGAGCGCCGGGTCCGGCAGGCGCTGCAGCCAGTGGCGCGCGTCGCCGAGCCGGAGCGGAGGGACGCTCTGCCCGTGGCTGAACACGATCTGCCGCATCACGACGGGGGAGCCGGCGGCCCTCATGTGGCGCGGCAGGCGGCGGACCGCGGCTGCGCCGTCAGAGCATGGCCGTGTCCACTGCCGCGGGGTTTGAAGGGGCCCAAGGACACACAAATAAATACGCACAATTAACAAGATTCCCCCTATTTTTCTGTTGTTTGAGTTTTCGTCTTCCCCCACACCTCCCATATAGTCTCATATTTTCCTGGGAATCGACGATTAATTGTGTCTGTGTGCTTTTTTCCCCTCCTGAGGGTTGTGCTCTGAGCACTCGAGGAGCGGTGGATCTGGATGCCTGCCCGGCCACGCGGGATGGGGCAGATCCACAGCAACCGCAGCTGCCCTGGCGCGCAGCACGCAAGACGTGGCGTGATTAGGGGACCACATGCGAACCCTACCCCTACCCCCACGATTTCTGAGGGGGAGGGTGGGGTTCACTTCGTTAGGGAGCTCCCGAGCGAAGTGAACCCCACCCTCCCCCTCAGAAATCGTGGGGGGTAGGGGTAGGGTTCGCATGTGGCCCCCTACTGGTGCGCAGCACGCAAGACGTGAAGTGATGACACCGAGCTCAACACGCAGGCTGAACACGCAGGTCTGACGCGACACGTTCGCCCGAACGCGCACCAACACGCACCGAGCCAACACTCGGCGTGCTGACACGGGCGTTTTGAACACGGCACGTCTTGCGTTTCAATACGGGCGCACCATTCGGGGAACGCACAAAATGACATAAACATAAAACTCGGAGATCCGCGCGGACTTCTTGGATCCGCGCTGGACCCCCCTCCCTGACGCGCAGAGCGCGCCAGGGGCGGCGCTGGAGGCGCCGCCGGGGAGGGTCCAGCGCGGATCCAGGGAATCCGCGCGGACCTCCGAGTTATCATCTGTATGTCATTGCTCGTTCCCCTAATCATGGCCTCCTCTTATTCCTCCTCCTCCTCCTCCGCCTCCTCTTCCTCCTCCTCCGTCTCTTCCTCCTATTCCTCCTCCTCCTCCTCCTGCTCCTCCTCCTCCTCCCCTCCTCCCATCCCTCCCCCTCCTCCTCCTCCTCCTCCTCCTCCTCCTCCTCCTCCTCCTCCTCATCATCATCATCATCATCATCATCATCATCCCCCCCCTCCCAGGGCGATCCCAGGGCACGGCTCCGAAATCCGAGACGGTGGACATTGACATGCGCTGGCGGTTGCGCGCGGCGCCCCGTGGCGCGCAGCCCGGGCGCGCCCTGTTTTGTTGCCAAAACGGCTTCGGCTCGCGCCGTGGCGCCGAGCTGCTCGTCTCGGTCGCGGGACTTCCCGAGGCTGGCTTATTTTTGATTTATGTTTGAACCATTTTTGGGGTATGTTTATTCTTCGTCGAAAATCCCCCTGTAGGGGGACAGGCCCTACTTAAGGCAGGCTCGCCTCGCGGCGCCTCTCGCGGACGCCGCCTCTGCAAGAAAGGGCGCTGCCGGGAAGCCCTCGGGCGAGGGGGGGCTCGACGCTGCCGCCGACGGCGAGGCCGACGCGGTTCGCTCCAGCTGGCCCCGAATCCACCTATAGAAGAAGAAAGCACTGCGTAAACAGAAACTTTTGGCGCTCCGCGCGGGTCTCTTGGATCTGCGCTGGGCCTCCCTCCCTGGCGCGCGGAGCGCGCCAGGGGCGGCGCTGGAGGCGTCGCCGGGGAGGGCCCAGCGCGGATCCAAGAACTCCGCGCGGAGCGCCGAACGTTAATGTTCATGGCGTTTTTTTTTCTTTTTCGAAATACGGCTGGCTCCAGAAGCACTATATCCACCAATGCCGACGTCTCGTTGCTTCCACTGGCCTGCGGCCGAGCGGGAGGCGCGCCGCGTACGCGACACCCTTCCCGGCACGCCCCCTGCGTGCATGCCCCTGCAGGTCGGAAGGCATCGCTCGCGATAGCAACGAGACTGAGCCACGCCTCCTCGTGCTCTTCCGCCTCCTCCGCCTCCTCCTCTTCCTCCTCCTCCTCCTCCTCCTGCCCTGCTGCTCCTCCTCCTCCCCTCGAGCCGCTCCTTCTCCGCCTCTTCCTCGCCTGGCCTGGGAACGGCAAGGCGCAAATTGTGGACAAAGCCCTGGGGGGACTTTCCACGGCGCTCGTTGCCTCGCTCTGACTGCTGTCTGGCCTGAACCTGCACAGGGGGACCTTCCCGGCTCGGACGCCGAGTCTGCGCCTCCCGGTCGAGCGCGCTCGTCTGCGGGCAGCCCCTTGGGGGTCCCACAGCGATGCGGTGACAGGCAGTGTGGCGACCTCGAAGTCCCAAGAGACCTCGTCGCACTCTCCGCCTCCGTACGCTTTTTTGGAACCCCGGAGGCCACAGTCGCCCGAGACATCCTCGGAGAACGACCCGAGCCCCAAAACCGTGTGGCCACTCCGACCCCAGAAATCCGGCTGCTCTGTTCTTCTTGAAGCGTGGGCCACGGAGGTCCAGACCACTTCCCCAGGACCGGTTTTTCGTCCTGAGTAGTTGTTTGACGCTCCCGAGGCCCAGCGAGGGCCCCCAGAGGCCGAAACTGCCAAAATCCCGCCGCTCCAATTCTTTTCGAGCGTAGGCTCTCTGGGAGTCCCCACCGACTCACCGCACGGTGTGGCCACCACACCGCCTGGGGGGCCGCCGATACATGGATTTGGCGCGCGGTCGCCAAATCCATGGATCGGGGGAGGTGCCCTCCCCAAAATGCGGCCGGTGCCGCCTCGCTCGGCGGCAGAAATTCGCGATTTCCCATGGAAACGGGACCCGTCGCTAATCCACGCCCCCTTGATCCATGTTTGCGATTGCCTGAGACTCACCAAACAGTGTGGCCACCACACCGTCTGGGGGCCGCCGAACTCCCTGACCCTTTCATCCTCCCCTGGAGCGACAGGAGGCGCGAGACCCAAGCGCGCAGCACCGCGGACCGGCATGTCAGACCCCCGACGTCGAGATTTTTCTGGAGCTCTGCGGGGGAGGAGGACGAGGAGGGGAAGGGCGAGGAGGGGGGAGGGGGACGACGAGGAGGGGGATAGGAGAGAGGAGGGAGGGAGGGAGGAGGGGGGAGGTGGAGAAAGAAGAGGAGGTCTAGGACCCAGAGACTAAAATTTGTGGCGTACGGGAGACGGGTCCTGCGGAAAAGCTGTCTTCGAGAGCCTGGGGACCCCTTTCCCTGAGAAGCCCTTTCGGCAACCGCATGTGAAACCTACCCCTACAAGTCAGATTTCTGAACAAAAACATCCGGGACGTAGCATTTGAAGGGGCCCTGGGACACACACACACACACACACGAACGCATTCACACACACACACACAAAAAAAAAAAATAGACACAAATCATCCGATGCCCCTTCTTTTCCCATCGTTTCTGGGTTTGTGTCTTCCCCCACTTCCCACATTCTCCCAGATTCTCTGGAATCGACAATGAATTGTGTATGTTTTTTGTCCCTCCTGAGAATGTGCAGGACGACTGCAGCCAGGTGAACCCTGGCAAGCGTACCCGATAACTACCCCTGCGGCGATGGGACCTGCAGGGGCAGGGACCCCAAGTGGTGGCAGAGCCTCGCCTCCCCCCTGCTCTGGGAGGAGGCCCAAGGAGTCGGGGGCGCCCGAGAGGGGGGCGTCCCAAAAAGGGGCCCGAGGATCGTGCGCGGCCCCGGGGGGGGGGGAGACGGCAAGCGACGCACTGAAGTCCGCCGAACCTGTCGGCGTGTGTGAAAGGCTTTTCCGTGTTCGTCGTCGTCGTCGTCGTCGTCGTCGCCGCTCCCCCGTCCCTGTTCGTGAACCCTCCTCTTCGATCGTCCCAGCTGAGAAGCGAAGTCGAGCAACGTCGTAGTCGAGTCGAAGGGGAGCCCTCTCCCCTCGATCCCTTCCCCGCAGGGGGGGGAGGGGGGAGGGGTCCGCGGGGTTGTGACCCCCCTCCCCGTGGCCCTTCGATCCCTTGCCTCCCTGCAGACGCATCGGGCTCCCCCTTCAGGATCGGCGGCGCTGGCCGTGAGGCCTTCACAAGAATGAGAGGGGGCCATGAAATTCCGAGAGATGTCATGGTCTCGGCCGTGATCTCCCCCCACTGCGGTCTGGAACTTTTGGGAAGCGTATCGCCGCAGGGGCACCGGCAACACGATATGCCTTGCAAGTGGACAACGTGTCGCTCCGCTCCGCGGGGGGGGGGAGGTCGAGAAACATTTGGACTTTGACGCCTGGGGGCCGCAACGAAGCGTGGGCCAGGAACTGGCGGAGCGCCACGCTGCCCCCCAGTTCCCGATCGTGTAGCATCACGCCCCCTCTCCTTGGCCGCCCCCCCCTGCTCCTGGAGGCCCGAGAGGGACGAACAATGCCCTGAGACTGTGGGAACAAAACGGTGCTGATACCGCTGCTCCCCGGACCTCTCCCGAGGTGCGTTCTGACAGCATCTCGAGGATGATCCAGCCGTGGCGACGAGGGCTCTCGAGGACGAGCAGCAGTATCGGTGCTCGGGCCGATCCCGCTCACGAGTGATCCTTCTCGCCTGGCTGTCGGGTCATAGCTCGGGTCTCCAAGAGCCGTTCGGGACGATTCGGGCACCCCCGCAACGCCCCAAATAAAACGCCCTCGGCGAGGCGCAGCTGCTAGAAGGCACCCCGAGGCTGGAAAGCCGACGAGGATCGACGAAAGCGTCAGAAAGCTTCGGATCTCGAAGCCTTGGCCGCCCCCGATCCTCGTGCGAGCATCGACCCTGTGATCCTCCTGTGCGCCCACGGCGTCCTCGTCCAGGTGGCCCCCACCGGCCGTTCGGGACGATCTGGGCACTCCCAGGAAGCTCTCCACGAGGCGCAGCTGCTGGCAGGCTGGCAGGCATCCCGAGCCGAGAAAGCCTCCAACATGACAAAACAACTTCCTCGAGTCTTGATCCTTGATCCTCTGTTTCTTGATCCTCGCAAATCCTCTATCCTCGATCCTCGATCCTTGATCCCGATCCTCTGATCCTTGAACTCACAGATGACCTCACTTTGATCCTTGATCCTCCGATTCTCCTGCGCGCCCGCTCGGGTGTGCCGACCTAGGTCGGGCCTGTCCCCCTACAGGGGGATTCTGGACGAAAAATTAAAAATACCCAGAAATGCTCCCAAATTGTAAGCAAAAATCAAAAAATCGTCCCTATTCCCCAATCAGAGCTTGCCTCTGTAGGGGTCCTAGCGGATTCATATGGTTAGGTTAGGTTTGCCGCCGCTTTTCGCCGCACGCCCGGGTGCCCGGGCGTGCCCGGGCGTGCCCGGGGGTGCCCTATAGCCCTATAGCCCTATGGCCCTATAGCCCAATAGCCCTACAGCTTTATAGCCCTATGGCCCTATAGCCCTATAGCTCAATAGCCCTGTAGCCCTATAGCCGTACAGCCCTATAGCCCCATGATTGTTTTTTTTCTCTGGTATCATACTATTTTTGACAATTTTTGGATATTCCTCCTGGACAGGGACAGGCACGACTTACCAGTAGACCGCGGGGTACAGAAGCGTGCGCCTTCTGTGCACCTCTCGGGCCTGCGGTGGCTGCGAAGGGCCCCTCGAGGGCCACTCTCCTGCAATCCTCCTTCCGTCCCCCTACGTTAGCTTCGTGTCGTGCCGACTTCGGCGTTGGTTTCTGACACCACGGAGATCGTTCAATTTTGAACGATCGGCCGTCCCAGAAACATCAGATCGTTCCACATTGACCGATTCTGGGTCGCCAGCGGCGTTCAACATTGAACGCCAACGGCGGGGTCGCCGTCGGTCGACACGACACGAACCTACCGTACGTGTATTGCCCCACCGATGTCGCACGCCCGACCCAGAAGAAGGAAAGGCGCCGTAAACATAAGTTGTTGGCGCTCCGCGCAACTTCCTTCGATCTGCGCTAGGCCGCTCTCTCTGGCGCGCGGAGCGCACCAGGGGCGGCGCTGGAGGCGCCGCCGGGGGGGCCAGCGCGGATCCAAGAAATCTGCGCGGAGCGTCAAAAGTTTATGTGTATACGTTTATACAATTTTTTGTTCTTCGATTGTCATCGCCCTCGACTCGAGGGGTCGGGAACTTTTCGGCTTCTGCCGGGCCTCCAGAGGTATCCCGAGGCTTCTGGCGAGATCTGGGGGGCCGCCGCCGCCGTCGTCGCCGCCGCCGTCGTCGTCGTCGTCGTCGTCGTCGCCGCCGCCGCCGCCGTCGTCGTCGTCGTCGTCGTCGCCGTCGTCGTCGTCGGCGTCGTCGCCGCCGCCGCCGCCGCCGTCGTCGTCGTCGTCGTCGTCGTCGTCGTCGCCGCCGCCGTCGTCGTCGTCGTCGTCGTCGTCGTCGCCGCCGTCGTCGTCGCCGTCGTCGTCGTCGCCGCCGCCGCCGTCGTCGGCGTCCTCGTCCAGGTGCCGGTTGCGGGCCCTCAGGCGCCGCAGGGCCCTCTGGTCGCGGCGCTCCACCTGCCGCCGCTTGCGCGCCCTGGCGGCGGGCACGGGCGGCCCGCTCGCCGCCGTTCGCCGCCGGCGCTCGCCACCACTGCTTGCCCCCGCCCCCGTCGTAGTCGTCGCCGTCGTCGTCCTCGTCGCCGCCGCCGCCGTCGCCGCCGCCGCCGTCGTCGTCGTCGTCGCCGCCGCCGCCGTCGTCGTCGTCGTCGTCGTCGCCGCCGTCGTCGTCGGCGCCGTCGCCGTGGTCGTCGTCGCCGTCGCCGCCGGCGTCGAGCTTCCAAATTCGCAGACCTCCGACGCCTCGTTGTCTTCAGTCCTGTTGTTCTTTCCTGTTTTTTTTTTTTTGCACCGAGTGCTCCAATGAGCTCAGGTGGGATAGGGAAGGGGGGGGGAGGAAAATGCGCCACCCCTCCATGCCCCTCGCGCACCTTCTTGTTGAAGGCCTTGGCGCGGGCTGAGGCACCTGAGAGGAGGCCTTGGTGGAGCTTCCGAAGGTTATCTTCCCCTTTGGGAGAAATCCCCGCTTCCAAACTCCAGGGCCGTCGGAAATGGATCTGGGACCGCAAGTCGGCCCCAGAGGAAGGGCCGAGGCTTCTTGGGCTCGCCGTCGCCGTGGTCGTCGCCGTCGTCGTTCGAACATCGAGGACCGCCCGACGATCCGCTGCGGACCCTGAAAAAGGAAGTAATCGATCTGGAGTGATAAAACCTGCCAGGATGGACCATCCCAGGGTCTGCGGACCGATTTCGAATGGACTTTGGTTGTCGTCGTCGTCGCCGTCGTCGTCGCCGTCGTCGTCGTCATTGTCGACGTCATCGTCGTCGTTGTCGACGTCGTTGTTGTTGTCGTCGTCGTCCTCCTCCTCTTCCGTCTTTTTCTGGCCTTCGGTGGCGCTCCTCGGCGCCATCCGCTGGGCGCGGCTCGCAAGACGAGGCAGGGCCGTTTAGAAAGGTATCCCGGAACACATGTTGGCCAGACTTTCTCGCCTGTCAAGCAGGGGGAGGAAGAGAAAGGATGAGGACTCGTGTGTCTTGCCGCTTTGGGAGCCTCTGGCTAATGTGAGGGTTGTCGTTATGGCTGGGTTCGTAATGTAGACTTAATTAGAATGTAAAGTAGATTTAGGGTAGTTTCAGAAGAGGTCCAAAGCAGATTCAGCAGAACCCAGAATCGAATCGGAAAGTCGGGTCGGCGATCGAAATCAATCGGATCGGCGGAAATTCTCAGCCGAGTCGGGAGAAATCGAATCGGTGGAAATCGGGAGGCTAGCAGGCCTCCGTTGAGAAATCGGAATCCAAATCGGAATCCGAGATCGAATCGAATCGGAATCGGAGGCCATCGAGATCGAATCGGATCCGAGGATTCGAAGCGAACCCGTCGTGAAGACATCGCGACGGGCAATGCTGCACCGATGCGGGCAACGGACCTCCATGGATCAACCAAAGCTGAAAAATCCATGCGTGAAGACGGGGTCGGAAACTCTGGCCCTGATCGTTCATGACGCTGTCTTCATAGTGCAAACTTCGGGGGTCGGAGAGTTTCAAGCTGGTTCGAGCACAGAGGGGCTGGCGCCCAGACGCGCTCCACGCGGCGTGCACTTCAATCGAAACAATTGGCCCGCGTCAGCGACACATGCGAGCGCTGTGCGCGGCCGGGTGTTGGAGCTCCTGCCCTGGTCGGTCCCGCAACGCTGGATGCCGGGGTCTTCTTGCCTGTACTCGCTGCCAAATCCCGATACGATTTGGGAGGCGAGTCGGGCGCCGGCTGGGGCAAATCATACTATATCTTTCGGCAACGTAGGTCCAAGACGCCCGAGACGGCCACAAGACGGGCCGAGAGGCCTCCAAGACGGCCCCAAGAGGACCTCTCCGAGGGCCTCAAGAGGCACAAATCATTGATTATTTCATGCTGTTTGGCAGATCTCAGCGCTTCACCGTCTCGGTTTTTTTCCACCGCTCCAGGACGTCCTGGGCGTGGCTTTATGGGTGGGTCACAAATGGGGGGGTCAGAAAAGGTCCCCTTGCTGGTTTAGGTACCATTTGGGTACCTTTTCGAACCACACTCGCCGCCCCCCCATTTACGATCCCCCCATTACGCAGCGCCCAACCAAGACGGCCCCAGAGGCCTCCGGGGTAGCCCCAAGACGATCCCAGAAGCGGCCCCAAAGAGGGCACCGAGACAGGCAAAGGGGGCCGGAACACGGCACAGGAGGCCGCCCCCAAAAGAGTCCCCACGCCGGCCCAGAGGGCCCCATAAGGCGGCCTCCGAAGGCCAAGAGGTCCCTTAGAGCTTAGAGACCGCCAGGTGCCCCCAGAGAGGCCCCGAAGAGGCCCCCAAGAGGCTCCCAGGAAGCCCCCAAAAGAGGCTCCAAGAGGGCACCAGGAGGCCTCCTCCTCTTCTTCCTCCTCCTCCTCCTCCTCCTCCCCATCCTCTTCTCCTCGCCTCTCTTCCTTCCCCGAGGGTCCCCCCAGTAGTTTCCACAACGGCTGAGGGATTACATTAGACCGATAGCTAGGCCAATTTTTTCCCCACGCGGCACATGGCGGGTCCTCTTCTACTGGCTGAACTCGCGGCTCCGCCTCCGCAGCACACGCATGCATACGTGTAGGGCATGCCGTCAGCGCCTGGAGAAGTGAGGTGCCCGCTCGCTTACGTCGGGCACTCGCCACAGTGAGGACGAGCGAATCGGATCTCCACTCGCTTCCATCGTGCGATCACCAGTGAGGATTGGCGAAGATACCCATGGAAAGCTGGGTTATATAAACCACTCGCACGGGCACAGCTCGGGCAGAGCGAAGAAATAGGTGGATCGGCGATCAGCAGATTGTGCACGCCCCAGGTGGTACCGGCCCTGCAGCCCTCTCTATCAACCTCGGCCGAGCCCGAGCTCGATCTGAGGATCTCAAAGGTGCTCAAACTTGTGTTGTAGCACTTCTGGGAAACTTGAACGGCACCGATCAAGCCTCGCTCGCGATGCGCCATCGGGCAACACGATGACAACAATCCGGCCGAGCAGCTCGGAAGGCCGCTCTCCCCACTTGTGCTGAACGAAGCTCAGATTACGTTACACATGATTGAGCACACTCGCAAAGAGCATCAGCCCCTCTTGGACACATCGGACTGCAGCGCTCGGGATGCGAATTGCTGCGCAGTTGCGCTCCCGCGTGGCAATTGAGCATTCCAACTTGCGACAACCGCTGTGATCGAACCAAGGCACGGGGAGCTCTTCAAGCGAACATCTGCCTGCGAGCAGGCCGTCGCGAGGAGCCGCGCGTCACAGCTCAGCTCCGCGGCCGCGCCCCTCCCTGCGCGACTGGAGCGCGAACACCGCCAACGCGAGCTCCTCCCACTCCGCCAACGCTCCTCCCTCCTCCTCCTCCTCCTCCTCCTCCTCCTCCTCCTCCTCTATCCTCTATCCTCTATCCTCTATCCGGTATCCTCCTCCTCCTCCTCCTCCTCCTCCTCCTCCTCCTCCTCTATCCTCCTCCTCCTTCTCCTCCCCCCTCTGCTTCCTCACCTTCCACATGTCGGCCCGAACGCCCCCCTTTCCCCGGGGCAGCGGCAGGACGTCGCTTGGACCTCTTCTTGGTCGCGTCTGAGGGCCCGTGAAACAAGCGAGCTGTCAGGACGGCTCCACCAGGCAGACGCGACAGCCTAGGGCAGAGGCCCACCTCGCACAAAGCACAGGAGTGGGAGAGAGCTCCGATCGATCGGGTGGAAGGGCAAGTAGCATGCGATGACGACTGCAAGAGTGCGTCCCGAACCAGAGGCCAGAGTATGGTGGCGCAGAAAGCATGTGCCTAGCGCGCCACCATGACAGGCTGGTCAGGTTCATTCTCCACTGGAGACACGCGCGCGCATCGCACGCGCTTATGTTCCAGCAAGCGCCAGGCCTTGACAAGATGACGGCTGCAGGAGCTCATAATCGAATCGATGAGTTGGATCGGCAATCGAAACAAATCGGATCGGAAGAGATCGGCAGCCGAATCGGGAAAAGTCTGCATCTGTGGAAATCGTCAGCCATTGAGGAATCGGAGCCGACATCGGAATCCGAAGTCGAATCGAATCGGAATCGAAAGCCATCGAAATCGAATCGAATCGAATCAGATCGGAGGAATCGAAATGAGCCCTGCAGCTGCCAACATTGACAAGTTCACCGGTGCACGCATGCGGGTACTCCACGAATGGCCTCATCATGATTGGAACCAGCAGCAAGAACGGTGACCGAGCAGAGAAGCTCTTGGGAGCTCCCCGGGGTATTCGGAAGGCTCGTTGGGTGCTCGGGGCCTATCTAACTGGTGAAATCCAGAGGCTATTTTCGGCGGCGGGCAACCCAGGCAACGGGGGGAAGTGAGACGGAGAAGGCCGTCTCAGAAGGCGGCGGGACTTCTCAGAAGCCTTCGCGCCTTCTTAGAAGTTGTCTGTGTCTTCGGGGGAGGCTTAGAGACCCTTTCAGAAGGCCGGAGGACTTCACAACCTTCTTAGAAGGCCCGCCACTTCTCACTTTCCCCCAAGTCTCGCCGCCGACATTTAGGGTGTGGGGGCGGCCAGGGAGAGGCAATCAAGTCTTTGGGGGTCGCTCTCTGGCCCCATCGGGCAGGCAGCGGCGGCTGCCTGCATAAGCAGACCTCTGCTGAGAAGAACCCCGATGACTCAGACCGCACGGGAGGCTGATGAGAAGAGCCCCGACTGCTCGGACCACACGGGGAGCCAATGCCACTTCCAAACGCGAGGCCCCAGTCCTAGAATCACTTTGAATGCACGAGGGTGGGCGGGGTGGGCCAGCCTGGAATCGGCAGAAACACTGGTCAGTCTCTGACAACGGGTCTGTGTCTTCTATCCTTTCCTCTTTCTGACTCTTTTTGCCGTAGCATTCGAGCGGAGGGCAACAGCTCGCAGAGGAAAACCTGATACAATGGCGACTGCCTGCATAAGCAGACCTCTGCTCAGAAGCACCCCGATGACTCAGACCACACGGGGGGCTAATGAGGCTCAGACCACACGGGGAGCCAATGCCACCTCTGACCCCCCCGAACTGGTAGACAGCGAGAGCACGTAAGGCTCGAAAACGCCCGTTCGGCTTCCCTCTCTGGGGCCCTTTCTGAAGCCGTCTTTGGGGAGTCGTGGGATGTCACGGCGGCCTCGGGGGCCGTTTTGGTGCCCCCTTGTGCAGTCTTGGAGCGCTCTTGTGGGCCTCTTGGGCGATCTTGGGGCTATCTTGGGGGTCTCCCCATGGGGCGATGGACTTTCATTTCGTCCGTATTCATTTCGTCTTCTTCCGTTTCGTTCTATTTCGTTTCGTCCTCTTTCGCTATGTCTTCTTTCGCCGTTCATTTTGTCCGCCGTTCGTTTCGTCCTCTTTCGTTTCGTCGCTGTCGTTTCGCCTTATCCGTTTTGTTTGATATCGCTGTGGTTGATTGCTTTGCTCTGTGATGCTCTACGAAGGTATTTGGGCGCGAATTCAAACCAAACGAATTGAAAATGGACGAATTTACACTGGACGAATTGACATCAAACAAATTAACACCGGAAATATTGACGCTAAACGAATCGACACCGGACCAATTGACACCGGACGAATTGACACCGGACGAATTGACAGCTGACGGATTGACACTGGACGAATTGACACTGGACGAATTGACACCAGACGAATTGATATCGTCGTCTTTGCTGCCGTTGTCGCTGTTGCGAGGTGGTGTTGAATGTCGTTGTTATGCTCGTTGTCGTTGTCGCCGCCGCCGCCACCGTCGTGATCATCGTAATTGTCGTCTTGTTTTGTGTCTGTCGTCGTGATTTTGTTTTCCTCCGTTGCTCCCCTTTTCGTTGCGTTCTCTTTCGTTCCGTCCTCGTTCGCCTCGCTGCTTCCAGCCTCACTCTTGCATTTCTCTGTTTTTTTTCCGCCCAGAAGTATCTGGAGGGGGCCTTGGAGCCGTCTCGAGGTCAAGTCGGGCCAAGAAGATCGGTCATCTGATATTCGCACTATGGAATGCAAACAATTCGAGAGGGACCTGACGAATTTACAAAACGTACGTCAGGGCACGCTGGCCGGGTGATATGAATAACTCGAGGTGGCATAAAATTTCTTTGTTCCTTTCCCTTCGTTCGGTCTCACCCGTTCATTTCGTCCGCAATCCGTTTTATCCTTTTACGCTTCGTCCTCGTTCGTTTCGTCCGCCGTTCGTTTCGCCCCTCTTTCGTTTCGTCCGCTGTCGTTTCGTCCGTTCTCGTTTCGTTTGCTGTCGCTATGGTCGCAGACTTTGCCCTGTGATGATCTACGAAAATTTCGGGCGAATTCAAACCAGACGAATTGAGACCGGACGAATTGACACCGGACGAACTGACACCTGACGAATTAACACTGAAAGAAATAACACCAAACAAATGGACACCAGACGAATGAACACCGGACAAATTGACATTGGACGAATTAACACAGGACGAATTGACACCAGACGAGTTGACACCGGACGAAATGACACCCGACGAATGGTCGTTGGGCGAGGTGGCACCAGACGAATGAATATCGTCGGCTATGATGCTGCCGTCTCTGTTGTGGGGAGGTGTTGGTTATCATGGTGATGCACGTTGTCGTTGTCGCCGCCGCCGCCGTCGTGGTCATCGTCGTCGTCTTGTTTTGTGCCTGTCGTCGTCATCATTTTCTTCTTCGTTGCACCCATTTTCGTTTTGTTCTCCTTGGTTTCGTTTGTTTTCGTTTCGACCTCTTTCGCTTCGCCATCCGCCTCCTCATTATTGCATCCTTCCCCAAAGAATTTCTGTAGGGCCCGGAGGCGCCCAAAGGGCAAAAGGGGTCCAACAGGGGATAACATACGGTCATCTGGAACTCACACCACTCGACGCAGAAGAACCTCGAAAGGGACCTGAGGACTCTCCAAATCGTGCGTCAAGGCGCTGTGACCAGCTTATACAGAGAACTTGAAGGGGCAATCGGCTCCTTTCGTTTCGATCGGTCTCGTTTCGTGGTCGTTCGTTTTCTCCAACTTCTCTCCGTCATCCACAGGTTATCGTTTCTGCCGCCGACCCCAAATCCGGAGGCCATGAAGGCTCGGTTGTTTGCTCCTCGCCCGCTTGGCAAATTGCGCTTGTTGCAACTGTACATCTCCGGGCCGCAAGTGCATGCGCTACTGTCCAGCGTGGTTCCAGAATTCTATGTGCGAAGGGGCTGCCGCGGCGTCCGGGCATGTCGCCGTCACGCGCAGAATGGTACACGCGTTTATTACATGTTCACCAAATGGTTTGTTCTTGCCAGTTTGAGCACGAATGCTGGGGGCGGCCAGTGCTACTAGCACTTGGCCCTTGTGCCTGTTTCAACGTTTGGGGTTCACGCGCCGTCCTGTCGGACAATGACGCGCAAACAATCGCTCGCGCGCTTTGGCTGGTCCGACGCGCCGCTAACCGCCACGCGTAAACATCGGCGCGTGGAGGGCCATGCTGAATTATTGGAGCGGCGGTGGACATCCTGGCCCGGTGCGCGGAAGGCGCCAAGGGCGGCGCCGGTGGCGCGGGTCGCGCGCCCGGCGCCTCCCCGCTAAATATGCGCGGGCCTCTGAAAGTGTACGTTCATGCTTAATGTCGTTGCGGTGGTCCTCCTCGTGAGAATGTGGCAGGGGCCTTTTCTCCTGGAGGCCGATGGATCTTGAGCCAAACGGCGTCGGCAAACGCGCGCCGGGCGGTCCTGACGAAGTTGCGACCGCTACGCTCCTTGCTGCGCTGCAAAACTGCACCCTTCTCACCCAATCGTAAAACTATACAATAACACCCCCCTTCGGCCCCATTTTTTCACCAGGATGCCCATCTGCATGCCGGCCGCTGGTGTATAAGACGCGTCTCCAGGCAAAGTCATGCGGTACAAGTTTGAGTACTTCGTCTGGCTACAATGTAGGGTTCACAAATCCTCTGGCCTGTACTCGCCGGACTACGAACGCAAGTGCACACAAAGTGTAGACAAATTCTAAGATACA